GATGTGAAATCTATGTTTTGAGGTTACCAAAGAGTAAAGACACATAGTCTTTGCCTTGGTTTTGTCTTTTTAACAAAGTGGCCTAAAATGTGAGAAAAGAATCCAAAGAACATAATGTTTGAGGGCTCCAGTCTTTTCACATGTTCTCCAAAACGTAGTATTTTTTATTATGACCATTAGGGCAAAGTGTAGTGTCATTGCACCATGGTTTTAAATTTTTATTTCCTTAATAAGTGATGATGTTGAGCATCTTTTAATTTACTTATTAGCCATTCCTATATCTTCCTGGCAAAATATCTATACAATTCTTTGCCCATTTTAATTAGGCTGTCTCTTATTTATCAAGTTTTAAGAGTCTCTTATCAGATATATGACTTCAAACACTTTCTCTTGGGCTGTGGATTTGTCTTTTCATTTTCTTAGTAGGTGTCTTTGAAGAGCAAACATTTTTAATTTTGAAGAAGTTCTATTTCTAAATCTCTCTTTTCTTAATCATGCATTTTATATTACATCTAAGAGATGCTTACCCAAGCCAAAGTCATAAAAGATTTATTCCTATCTTTTTTTCTAAAAGCTTTATAATTTTCTCTCTTAAGTGTATGGTATGTTTCCAGTTAATTTTTGTGTATGGTGTCAGGTAACAATCCAAGTTTATTATCAATATTAACATTAATATTTTTGCATAGAGTTATACCTGTGCCATTTGTTGAAAATAATATTCTTTTCTCATGAAATTGACTTTGCATCTTTCTCAAGAACAAATTAATCATAGGTAATTAGGTTTATTTCTGGCCTTTGTCTTCTGTTACTTAATCTATGTATTTATCCTATGCTAATACCACACTGTCTTGACTATTATAGCTTTATACAGCTTTAAAATTAGCTCGTTAAGTCCTCCAACTGTGTCTTTCTTTTGCAAAATTGCTTTGACAATTAAATTCCTCTGCATTCTCATATATATTTAGGATCAGCTTGTCAGTTTCTACAAAAGGGCTAGGATTTTGATAGGGATTATATTGCATCTATTGATAAACTTGGAGATGATTTTTATCTTAATATAACTGAGTCCTCCATAATTATGGAATGCTTTTCCTTTTTAGATCTTTAATTCATCTCAACATTTTACATTTTTTATGTATATGTCTTACATTTCTTTTGATATATTGCAAAGTGCTATTCTTTATGATGCAATTGTGAAAATATTTTTTCTCAATTTTTAAATTATTCCTTACTGGTATATAAACACATTTGGCTTTTATATATAAATATTGTATCATGAAACCTTGGTAAACTTATGTATTTATTCTAAAAGTTTCTTTATAGATTTTGTAGAATTTCTTACATACAGAATCATACAGTCTGAGATTAAAAACAGTTTTACTTTTTTCTTTCCACCCTGGATGTTTTTTATTTCCATTTCTTAACTGATTGCAGTGGCTAGTATCTCCACTGCAGTGTTGCATAAAAGTTGTGAGAGCTGACTTTGTCACCTAGTTACTAATATTAAAGGCAAAGCATTTAGCCTTTTTAAGCTTTTATGTTTTTTTTTTTAATGCTTTTAGTAAGGTTGAGGGAGTTCTGTCTGTTCATAATTTGTTGAGTTTTTATCATGAATGGGTGCCCCCTTTGTCAGATTTATTTCATTGCATCTACAGATGATAATTTGATAGGTCCTTTATTTCATTTATATGATATTCAGTATTATGTTACTTGATTTTGGATGTTAAGCCAATCTTGCATTCATGGGATAAATCCCACTTGATCATGGTATGTAATCTTTTTTATATGTTGCTGGATTAGGTTTGCTAATATTTGATTGAGAATTTTTGCACCTGTGCTCTAGGTATACTCTCAGTTCTCTCAAAGCTCCATATGCACTTGCTTACTCATTCCTGAGCCTTTACACTTGCTCACGCTCCCTAGAATAATCTTTCTCTCCTCATTTTCCTGTACACCTACATAGCTAATCCTTCACGTTTAAGCTGCATACTCTAAGAAACCATGCCTGAATTTGACTGTGTAAATGCCCCATAGTACCCTGAGCTTCTACAATCATAGAACATCATATGCTGTACTTCATAGTTTAATTTAACACGTTTTCCAGTTACTAAGGTTAATATAAAATGTGTTCAGTGAGGTCAGGGATCATGTCCAAGGTTTTTATTTTTGTCTCCAACATTAGTATAGGCTCTGAACAGAGTAGGTGCTCCATAAATATTCACTGAATAAATCTATAAGCCAGGCTTTATCAATTCTTGCCTCCCCAGCTAAAACATGACCTTAGTTCTTTGCATATTTCTCTCCCAAAAAGTATTGCTACAATCATCTGGGGTTTTTTTTGTTTGTTTGTTTTGTTTTTTTCATTGTGGTAGGCTGAACAATAATTCCCAAAAATGCTTATATCACAATCCCTGGAGATTGTGATCGTTATTTTACATGGTTAAAATGATTTTGCAGATTTGATTAAGTTAGGGATCATGAACTGCGGAGGTTATCCTGGACTATGTAGGCAGGCCCAGTATTACCACAAGAGTCTTTATAAGAGGCAGAGAGGAAACCTCGAGACAAAAAAAAAAAAAAAAGAAGAAGAAGATATGACAATAGGAGCAGAAACTGGAATGATGCATCTTGAATATGGTTCTTTTGAGCTATGAGCCATGTGGTGCAGGCGGCATCTAGAAGCTGGAAAAGGTGAAGACATGGATTCTCCCTTGAAACCTCAAAAAGGAACTCTGCTCTGCCAACATCTTGATTTAAGCCTTGTCAGACTCATTGTGAACTATTATCCTGAAAAGAATAAAAGCAGAAAGACGGAATTGATAAACATAAAAGCAGAAGTTAATGAGGAAGATTTAAAAATGGTAGAACAAAGAAATAAGTAAATAAGATAATTGTTTGGGAAAAATAAAAAATCATGTGCCAACCAGGAAACAGAGAGAAAAAATATATTAAAGAATAGATGACAAGGGGAAATAACTATCACCATGGAGTATATTTTTAAAAACAATATTTTGTACAATTCTCTGTAAATAATCTAAAAGCCTAAATGAAATGGGTATTTTAAGAAGATATCATTGAACAAAACTGGCCCTAATGTGGATGGAAAGCCTAAGCAAAACAATGGCTACAAGATAAACAGAGAAATTTGTAATAGAGTATTCTCACAGAAAACTAACACTCCCACTTGGTTTCTCACAGGGATTTTACCAAACCTTTTAAAGATCAGAGATTCTGAAAATACTTAGAACATTACAAAGTATAAAGAATAAGGGAAATTTCCAAATTATTTTCATGACATGAGTTTGATATTTATACCAAAACTTAACAAAACAGCACATTAAAATATCTACAGACTAGTATCACTTCTTAATATTGATATAAAAGTCTTAAATACTAGAGAATCAAACAACTACATTAGAAAATAACATACCACAATAAATTGGAGTTTGCTGCAGGAATCTAAGGTAGTTCAGTGCTAGTTAATCTACGAATACAATCCATTTTATTAAACAATGGGGTTGGACTGAGCACTGGGAAGGGGTGGGCAAGCAGCGCTTTGCCTCAGGAAGGCAGTGAGAGGGATACACACATCCTAATCCTGCC